TAATAATAACAATTACGATAACAAAAATCAAAATGATAATAATAACAAGAACCACAGATACTAAGACGCGGACGCTTCCCGGCACAATTCGCGGCAAACAAGGGCGTGGTGTAAGGGCGGCCCTGTGAGATCAGGGACAAGGTGTGGAGCCGAGTGATTGACCAGAGAAAAGCATTCTGATTCTCGAGCTTGGAAGAGCTTGGAACTGGCCTTTGGTGAGTCTCCTGCTGCTGTGTGACTGACTGGGAGTTCGAGTTGCAGCTTTTGCGAGTTGTCAGGACTTTTGCTTCGATGGGTGGTTGTCTGGAGTTTCGATCCTGCCACACCTCCCTCCCTCCGCTCCCATTACTTGGCTCCGGAGTAAATGACTGCCAGCTGTTCCATCTCTTGAAGAAGGGGCGAGATGGCTTCCTGTGGCAGTGACTTGCCCTGGCCCTTGTGCTTCCTGTGGGTGCCTTTCTGAAACTCGCTGATGGCACTCTCGAGGCCTCCTTCGCGACAGTCGTATGCGACTTGGTGGAATCCGTGAGGGAACAGAGTTGCTTTGCGCCGCTCCACTATGGCGTGCTGATTGTACCTCTTGTTTGGCTTGAGGAAGAAGGGGCAGGAAGGGCACTGACAGGCGTCGGTCAGGAGCCCTAGATGCGGGCGGTACTTCCGGTACACTTGCTCGAAGGTCGCGGCGGTGACCTCGACCCCACGGGCAGCAGCCTCCGCCAGAATCTCCTCCTTGCTCATGGGTCTTACCACGTCAGCATGAGCCTGGCGGTACTCGGCCAGCCAGGCGTTTTCGTAGAAGCTGACCAAGTCATTTAGAAGTGTCTTTACCAGAAGGCCCATGTTTTCCTTTTCGACTTGACTCTTCACATACATAAAGGCATTTTCATAACTGTCGATCTTAGCTAACAGACGCTGCTTCGAGGAACTGTACCGCAGTGCATGATGAGTGTAAACGAACGCACTCTTCTCAGAAAAGAGCTCTTCAACGACCTCTTCGGGCAGACCCACCTCCCCGGCGTAGGTCCTGAGGGTACGCCACGAGACGGCTCCGGCAAGGGAAGGGTTGAAGAGTCTCTCCACTTTTTCCATGCTCACCCGCACCGGCAGGGAAAGGCTCTCCCTGACCGCCTTCATCTGCTCCTTGCTCTTCCTTTTGGCCTCTTTCTGCACTTCCTCGAGGGTATAGAACTTTGAGAGAGGAAAGGCTGCCGAACTCTCTGCCTGGAGAATGGTCGACCTGACATCCTTAGAATAATTCTGGAAAAAATCCTCTTTCTTCTCTGCCAAAAAGAAGTCCGTATAAGGTGTGCTGTCCTTCTGCGAGTTACTGCTGTGACTCAAATTGCGCCCGATAAATTCAACCAAAATCAGCCGGACAATCTGCTCAACTTCCGTCATCTCTAATTCGTCGTTTCGCTTTAAGATGTAAAGCATAAACATTGGCTTGATGAGAGATTCACACTTGACTGGACGGTTCTTTATCTTCACTTCGCTTTCCGTCATCAGCGCCTGTGGTGCGTCGTCTCTCAGGAGATCACAGTAATCAACGTGACCTCTCCTATGCATGTACTGAGAAGCCGTGGCGATTATACTCTCCTCTCGGAGCCGAACGTACTCTGGCCGTGGGACTTCTGGGTGGTCATACAGTATCCTCACCCAGCAGGTAGCCAAAGCTGCCAAATGTATATTGAAGTCTATGATGTGCGGATTCTTGAGGATGGCGAAGGTAGCACACATGGCATACAGACGTGTTTGGAGAAAAGGTCTCATAACCTTCGCAGCCTCTCTGCTAAACACTGGGATGACAGCATTGAAGTGAGTGTTGTCATCGTCCTCTTTCAGTTTGATGTCCTTGTGGCGTGTGCCCGGATCCGAATTTGAGGCATAAGACTCAATGGCCACTTGACTCATGGTGGTGTACGGGGATCTGAGTATCCTTACGATATTGTAGGACCACGGATTTAGGCTTACAGAGTCTCTGGTTGGCGAAAACACGGGGATGCCACTCATGGTAAAGTTCTTGAGGAACTCGAACTTGTTCATGTTCAGCATTTCGAGGAAAGCATCGTCCTGGAGGTCCGAGAGGGTTGAACTCATGGTGATGCGGCAGCACTCCTCTGGTGTTACGGTCAGGGCCTTCAGTTCTGGTTTTTTTTCATGGTATAGTCTTTCGAATGCTTGGCAGTCCCTTCCGTAATCATACTCAGTGTGGCCTTTGAGTTGCAGGGACTTGACTTCATATTTGCCGGCAGTCACCGTGGTGCTGAGGATGTTCTCTGCTAACCTTAGGGCATCTCTGTGTTTCTCAGTGGTCAGGATTTCCTTGATTTTATTCATGGTTGTTCTGAATTCCACCTCGACTGTCTTGTGATTCGCCCGCGCGAGCTTTGCTGCTACAGAGTACCCTTCGGTTTCCGTGTGCAGATTGGAATAGAACAGACGCTCCATGAGGGGAAGGAGGTCTGGGGGAATCTCCTTCCCGACGCTGTGGAACTGGACGGCCACGCTGTTCCACTGGCGCAAGGCCTTGCCCAGGAGGTCGCAGGTGATTTTCTTGCGCTCTGGAGTCAGCTGACCCTTGTACTTGTGGAGGGAGACATCGATATGTCCATGTTTTGCAGGATCCTCTGGGAAGTAGACCCACTCTAAAACGTGGAAATCTTGCTTGGATTCAGCGCCGGGCAGCTTCCAGCCCGGGACAGAAAGCTTCATACTTCGTTCATTCATCTTGGCGAGGTTCTTGCTGATGGCATCCATCTGCTCCTCTACACCTGAAGTGTCATTGGCCCAAAAGAGCGTCGGCAGGTTGGCGCTGCCGTTGTGAAGACGGGACCGGATGCTGAGGCTGTACTCGACGGGGAACCCGGTGCCCGCCCCCAGCAGGTAGACGTCGCAGACTTTGCCGAACGGTTCCGTCATCTGCGAAATGACGGTGTTCGGAGGGTCGGGCGACTGGTTGTGGTCCCCGTCGGTAATGATGAACACCTTGATGTACTTCTCTTTGCAGGTGTACACTTTGTCGACGATTGTCTGCAGGGCGCCCGTCAAATCTGTCTGACCACCCGTGAAGTCCGACTTCTCCAGCTGAGAGCCAGTCCTCAGCAGCTCGACGTAGCTGCCGAAGACGTAGAGGTCCGTGCGCCCCCTCAGCCTGGGCGCGACGAAGGTGTTCCAGCCGGAGACGACGTGAGCCCAGTAGGACCCCATCGACCCAGACACGTCGGCCATGAGGATGTTGTAGCTGTTGGCCTCCGAGGGGCCGGCCGGGGACTCGCCCTGCAGCTCGGGGGGCACGGACGACGGCATCTGCAGCAGGAAGCGGGTCGCGACCTCGCCGCTGTCCATCTGCGAAAGCGTCGAGGTATTAAGCATAGTTTTGGGCGAGGTTCGGCTCTCGGGATGATGCTATCAGGGAGGATAATGATGAAAAAGAAATGACGACAAGAACAAAAGTAGCAATAACGATGAAAAAGAAATGACAAGAACAAAAGTAGCAATAACAATGAAAAAGAAATGACAAGAACAAAAGTAGCAATAATGATGAAAAAAGAAATGACATGAACAAAAGTAGCAATAATAACGATCATAACAATGCACAGCACAACCCTTATTTGCAATTGTGAGGGATAAACCTTTCTTCTAACACCATCAGACCTCGACTCGCCAAATGTACTACGACCATCAAATCTGTTTCCGCAATGGCATCCTTTTCTCCGTTCCATCCAACCCTAATGAACAGTGCAAGATGTGATGGATGTTCAGTGTGCAATCTGCAAATTTTGCAAAACCTGCAAAATTACGATTATTGCTTGCAGACAGCGAGGCCCAATTCTTTGTTACTTTCGCACTAACTGACTCACTCACATTCATCAACAGCAACATTTATCAACAGTTATCAACATTTATCAATCACATTATCAACATTTATCAACAGCATTTATCAACATTTCAACAGTTATCAACATTTTATCAATCACTTTATCAACAGCAGCATTATCAACAGTTATCAACATTTATCAAGCATTATCACATTTATCAACAGCAGCATTTATCAACATTATCAACATTTATCAACATTTATCACTAGCCCCTTTTCTGTCAATTATTTTACAATTTTCTGAACATTTTGAGCGAATTGTTGATTTTCCTGTTCAGTCAAGCAGTCAAATCAAGAGCTATATTCGAGAATGTTTGCATTTATGTTAAACAAAATTAATCGTAACAAAAAGGATATGAGAGTAAATTGAGTATATGTACTATAATATAATAGATTAGAAAATATGAGATTTATTGTTTACTGAAATTGATAAAATTTGTTTTAAGGGTTCGCAAGATTGTTGACATCCGCGAGGGCAGTTTCGTCACCATCGCGGATCCTGCTCGCTTTTCCGTCGTCAGTCTTCGTCGGAATCGGTGACGTCAGACACGGCGGCCGCACAGAGAGGAATCTGAAGAGGAATCTGCCTACAACAGCATCGCCCTTTCGCGTGAAATTGACGTTATGGAAAAAAAAAATGATAAAGAAAAGAAAAGAAAAGAAGGAAAAAAGTGTTTTAGCACCTCGCCCCCCGCCCGGCAGAGCAGAGGCTTCGGGAAAAGGACACTTGGTTTGAAACGTTTTCTCCGAGCGCCGGAAAGGAAAGGTCTGACGTCTTAAATACCCTCCTTTATTCCTTTTCCCACTCCCTTGCATCTCCTCGTATCCATCCCCATCTTCGTCTTACCTTCTCCCCCTGCTACCTACCTCTCTATCCTCTTACCTTCTCCCACTACTTGCTACCTACTCTTTCTCTCTCTCTCTCTCTCTTCCTCTCATCCTTTCTTCCTCTCCCCCTCTCTACCTCTTCCTCTCCCTTACCTTCTCCCACTACTTGCTACCTACTCTTTCTCTCTCTCTCTCTCTTCCTCTCATCCTTTCTTCCTCTCCCCCTCTCTACCTCTTCCTCTCCCTTACCTTCTCCACTACTTGCTACCTACTCTTTCTCTCTCTCTCTCTCTTCCTCTCATCCTTTCTCCCTCCCCTCTCTACCTCTTCCTCTCCCTTACCTTCTCCCACTACTTGCTACCTACTCTTTCTCTCTCTCTCTCTCTCTTCCTCTCATCCTTTCTTCCTCTCCCCCTCTCTACCTCTTCCTCTCCCTTACCTTCTCCCACTACTTGCTACCTACTCTTTCTCTCTCTCTCTCTCTCTCCCAGGATCCGCCTCGCGCTCCCTGCGGCGAAGGTCCTCCTCAGGGGACGCCCCTCGGCCTAGGGGTGCGCGGGCGGCCCCGTGCATGGGCGGCGCCACGACAGCGACAATAATTAATCAATATCATGGCTATAACTTTCCATCTTCTCCTTCTCACGAGGCCGAGCGAAAACCCACCTTCTCCATGGCCTCGTAGAGCCTGGCGTCGCTGACCACGGAGCCGACGTCCACGACCTCGTCGGCGGCCACGACCTCCTCCTCCTCCTGGGCGTCCGGTGAGACCAGGCGCGGCGGCTGCCACTGGCGCCCGAACCAGCGGTGCTCCCGCTCCAACCTCCGCCTCACCATCCTCTCGTAGTCTCTGTCGCTCAGGTCATCGTCGTCCGAGTCGGACCAGGGCGGCAGGGAGCAGCTGTGGCCGACCTCCACGAGGAGCCTGTGCCTGATGCTCCTCCTCCGGCGCTCTCGGGAGTCGCGGTCCTCGGCCGGGTCCCTCTTGGAGCCCGAGTCGACGAAGGCGCGGGGGCCCCACATCGTCTGCGGGAGAGGGGAGGCTGGAGGCCGAGGCCCAAGTGTGGCGGCGGGATGGGGGTGTGTGGGGAGGGGTGATGGGAGGGGTAGGGGGAAGGGGGGGAAGGGTGAGGGAGGGGTGGGGGAAGGGGTGGTGGGGGGAGGGGGGGAAGGGGTAGGGAAGGGTAGGGGGAAGGGGTGGGGAGGGGTGAGGGGAAAAGGGTAGGGGGGGAAGGGGTAGGGGGGAAGGGTGGTGGGGAAGGATGTGGGGGAGGGTAGGGGGGAAGGGGGGGGAAGGGGTGGGGGGAAGGGAGGGGGAAGGGTAGGGGAAGGGTAGGGGGGAAGGGTGGTGGGAAGGGGTAGGGGAGGGGGTGAAGGTGGTGGGGAAGAGGTAGGGGGGAAGGGTGATGGGGAAGGGTGGGGAAGGGTAGGGGAAGGGTAAGGGGAAGGTGATGGGGAAGAGGTAGGGGGGAAGGGGTGATGGGGAAGGGTGGTGGGGAAGGGGTAGGGGGGAAGGAAGGGGGGGGGAAGGGGTGGTGGGAAGGGGTGATGGGGGAAGGGGTAGGGGGGAAGGGGTGTGGCGATGGGAACGGGGAGGTGAGATTCATGATGATGATGATCACGTGATGCTAATAACAGGGACGAGAATGCTGATAATACATAATAAACAAATATATAATAATATACAATAAATAAATAACCCCAGTGGAAAACTTGGTCCAGTACATTCCAAGATCATTTACCGCATGTATCACTCACTATTATTATTATTATTTTTTCCCCAAAGCAGATCAAAGGACCTTTTTCTTTAGAGACAAAACTACATATTTGTGAAATGTTAAGATATATACACGTCGACATGTCACGATTTTAGGCCTGGTATTCATGCTGCCATCCTGATGTTGGTTCTCGAGAACTGGAAGAAGAAGTAGAAGATGAGAAGGAAAAGGAAAAAGGAAAGAAGGAAAAAGAAGACGCAAGGAGAAGAAAGAAGAAGAAGAAAGAGGGAAAAAGGAAAAGGGAGAAAAGAAAGAAGATGATGAAAGAAAAAAGGAGAAAAAAGAAGATGAAAAAGAAAAAGAGAAAAAGAGGATGAAAGAAGGAAAAGGGAGAAAATGAAGAAGGAAAAAGGAAAAAGAGAAATGAAAGAAGATGAAAGAAGGAAGGGAAAAAGGAGGATGAACAAAGGGAGAATGAAGAAGATAAAAAAGAAAAGAGAAGATGAAAGAAGAAAAGGAAAAAAGAAAGAAAGAAGATGAAAGAAGAAACGAAGGAAAAAGAGAAAAAGAAAGAGGATGAAAAAAGAAGAAAAAGAAGAAAAGGAGGAAAAGAAAGAGGATGAAAGAAGGAAAAAGGAGAAAAGAAAGAGGATGAAAGAAGGAAAAGGAGAAAAAGAAAGAGGATGAAAGAAGGAAAAAGGAGAAAAAGAAAGAGGATGAAAAGAAGAAAAAGGAAAAAGAAGAGGATGAAAGAAGGAAAAGGAGGAAAGAAGGAAGGCGAAAGAAAGAGAAACAAGGAAGAAAAAAGGAAGAAGAAGAGAAGAGAAGAAGAAAGAGAAGGAGGAGAAGAAAAAAGAAAGAGAAGAGAGAAGAAGAAAATATATATTGAAATAAAAAATCCGTTAAAACTAATCCTTTCTTTTGTTTCTCTGTTTCTCTTTCTCTCCTCTTCTTCCTTCCATTTTTCCTTCCTCTTCTCTATCCCTCATCTTCTTTGCCCTCCCTTCTCCCTCTCCATCTTGTTCTCTCAATCTACCTCTTCCTCTTCCTTCCTCCTTCTCCCTTTCTTTCTTCTTCTGCGTCTCCCTTCCTCACCCTCTCTCTACCTTTCCCTCTTCGTCCTTCTTTCTCCCTCCCTATCTTTTTCCTTCGTCTCCTTCTTCCTCTTCTCCTCCTTGCCTTCTCAATTCTTCTACCTGTTCCATTCTCCCCCCCCCCTCTCTCTCTCAATCTTCTATTCTCCACTCCTTTCCTCTCCTCTTTCCATTCTCTCTCTCTCTCAATCTTCCGTTCTCCTCTCCCTTTTCCATTCTCTCTCTCTCTCTCTCTTCCATCTCCTCTCTCTCTCCCTTCTCCCTCTTTCTCTCTCTCAATCTTCCATTCACTCCTTCCCTCTCCTTTCCATCTCTCTCTCTCTCCTCTCTCAATCTTCCATTCTCCTCTCACTTTTCTATTCTTTCTCTCTCTCTCAGTCTTCCATTCTCCTCTCTCTCTCCCTCTCCCTTTTCCCTCCTCCTCCTCCTCTCTCTCTCTCTCTCTCAATCGTCTATTCTCCCCTCCTTCCCTCTGCCTCTTTCACTCTCCTTCTCTCTCTCTCTCTCCTTATTCTCCCCCCCCCCTCCCTCTTCCCCTTCCTCCAGTGCTCATAGTCGTAGAAAAAAACAAAACCAAATATGGACTTTCAAGTGTCCTTTTCCATACCGTCTCCTTGACTCGCTCAACGGTTTTTTCCAGGATGCAATGACGCGGCACTTTCCCTTCGTGGCGATTTGAATCTCGCGCGCAAATTCAAAAGTCCGAAGCGAGCAGTCCGCCATTTTCTTGGGAGAAGAGTCGAAGTTCGTCGATTTAACTCGCTCCGAAGGGGAAGTGTCGCTTCAGTCCATGCAGGAAGACGGATGGATGATTCGAGGTAAAATTATGGGGAAAAGGGATCCTTAAAAACCCTTAAAAAAATCCTCAAATGGAGGGTGACCTTAAGGTAACCCTTGAGGAGGAGAGAAGGGGGAGGGGGGAGAGAGGGAAGAGGGAGGGGGAGAGAGGATGAGGGAGAGAGGAGGAAGAGGGAGGAGGAGAGGAGGAAGAGGGAGGGGAGGAGGAGGAGAGGGGGGGAGAGAGGAGGGAAGAGGAGGGGAGAGAGAGGGGAAGAGGGGGAGAGAGGGGAGAAGAGGGAGGGGGAGAGGAGGGAGGAGGAGGAAGGAGGAAGAGGGAGGAGGAGGAGGAGGGAAGGAAGAGGAGGAGGAGGGGGAGAGAGGAGGAAGAGGGAGGAGAAGAGGAGGAGGAAGGAGAGGGAGGAGGAGGAGAGAGGAGAGAGAGAGGAGGAGAGGAAAGAGGAGGAGGAGAGAGGAGGAGGAAGGAGAGGGAGGGGGGGAGGAGGAAGAGAGGAGGAGGAAGGAAGGAGGGAGGGAGGGGAGAGGAGAGAGGGAAAGGGGAGGGGGAGAGAGGAGGAGAGGGAGGGAGGGAGAGAGAGGAGGAGGAGGGGAAGGAGCAAAAGGGGAGGGGGAGGGGAGGAAGAGGGAGGGAAGAGGGGGAGGGAGGAGGAGGAAGAGGAGAGGGAGGGAGAGGGAGGAAGAGGAGGGGAGAGAGGGAGGAGAGGGAGGGGGAGGAGGAGGAGGAAGAGGGAGGGGGAGAGAGGAGGAAGAGGGAGGGGGAGAGAGGAGGAGGAAGGAAGAGGAGGGAGAGAGGAGGAAGAGGGAGGGGACGAGGGAGGGGAGAAGGAGGAAGGAGGAAGAGGGAGGGGAAGAGGAGGAAGAGGGAGGAGGAGAGGAGGGAAGAGAGGAGGAGAGGAGGGAGAGGGAGAGAGGAGGAGAGGGGAAGAGGAAGAGGGAGGAGAGAGGGGGAGGAGAGGAGGGGGAGAGAGAGGAGAGGAAGGAGAGAGGAGAGGGGAGAGAGGAGGAAGAGGGAGGGAGAGAGGAGGGAGATGAGGAGGAGGAAGGAAGAGGGAGGGGGAGAGAGGAGGAGGAAGAGGGAGGGGAGAGAGGAGGGAGGAAGAAGAGGAGGGGAGAGGAGAGAGAGGGGAGAGAGGAGGAGAGAGGGGGAGGAGGGAGGAGAAGGAGAGGAAGAGAGGGAGGAAGAAGAGGGAGGGGGAGAGAGGAGGAAGAGGGAGGGGGGGAGGAGAAGAGGAGGGGGAGGAGGAGGAGGAAGGAAGGAGGGAGGGGGAGAGGAGGGGAAGAGGGGGGGGGAGAGGGAAGGGAGAGGAGAGAGGAGGAAGAGGAGGGGGAGAGAGGAGGAGGAAGAGGGAGGGGCGAGAGAGAGGAAGGAAGAGGGAGGGGGAGAGGAGGAGAGGAGGGGAGGAGAGGAAGAGGAGGGCGGAGAGAGGGGAGAGAAGGAGGGGGGAAGAGGGGAGAGGGAGAGAGAGGGAAGAGGGAGGGGAGAGGAGAAGAGGAGGAAGGAAAGAGGGAGGGGGAGAGAGGAGGAGGAAGGAAGAGGGAGGGGGAGAGGAGGAGGAAGAGGAGGGGAGGAGGAGAGGAAGAGGGAGGGAGAGGAGGAGGAGGGAGGGGAGAGAGGAGGGAAGAGGGGGCGGAGAGAGGAGGAAGAGGAGGGGAGAGAGGAGGGAGGAGGGGAGAGAGAGGAGGGAGGGGAGGGGAGAAGGAGGAGGAAGGAAAGAGGGAGGGAGAGAGGAGGAAGAGGGAGGGGGAGAGAGGAGGAAGAGGGGAGAGAGGAGGAGAGAGGAGAGAGAGGAGGGGGAGGAGAGAGAGGAGGAAGAGGGAGGGGGAGAGGAGGAGGAGGAAGGAAGAGGGAGGGGAGAGGGAGAGGAGAGGAGGAGAGAGGAGAGAGAGCGAGAGAAGAGAGAGGAGGAGGAGAGAGGAGAAGAGGGAGAGGGGAAGAGAGAGGAATGAGGGGGAGAGAGAAGAGGAGGAGGAAGAGGAGGAAGAGGGGAGAGAGGAGAGAGGGAGGGGAAGGGGGAGGAAGAAGAGGAGGGGAAAGAAGGAGAGGAGAGAGGAGGAGGAGAAGGAGGGAGGGGGAGAGAGGAGGAAGAGGGAGAGAGAGAGGAGGAGGAAGGAAGGGGGAGAGGAGAGAGAGGAGGAAGAGGGGAGGGAGGAGAGGGAGGAAGAGGGAGGGGGAGAGAGGGGAGAGAAGAAGGGAGGGAGGGGGAGAGAGGAGGAAGAGAGGAGGGGGGAGAGGGAGGAGGAGAGAGGGGAGGGGAGAGAGAGGAAGAGAGGAAGGCAGAAAGAAGAGGGAGGAGAGAGGGAAGGAAGGAGAAAGGAGGAGGAGAGAGAGGAGAAGAGGAGGAGAAGAGAGGAGAGAAAGGAGGAGAGAGGGAGGAGGAGAGAGAGGGAGAAAGGAGGAGGAGAGAGAGTGACGAAG